AATTGATCCTTTTGAGGCATTTTGAAGAAATTGATACAAGTTTTGGGAAAATTTTCGTCTTAAATTGGGAAGTCAGGAATATCTGTTTTAGGTATGTTCATGTGGGAGAAAATAAATAAAATGACAATAAAGGAGTCAGAAATGATTTCCAAGTGTCAACTAGCTTAAAGGATTCTGTATTGTGAGTATTCGAAAAATTCGATGACCTGAAAACCGATCAACCCAATCTGTTGTACGATTTTGATAGAGTTGGATTCAAATAAATGAAAACTCTATGGGTTGAGTTGGTTCAAGAGTTTACTTAAAAGGGTYGGAACGAATCAACTCGAACTTATTATTAATTTTAAAACAAATGTTTAAGACATTAACATTCACTTTTTTTTTTCATATAATATTTTGAAAGAGTAACTTGAATAAACCGAATCAACYCAACCCAAAATATTTCATAGCTGAATTGGGTTGGAATCATTATTTAGTTGAGTAATAAATTTATAACTCCAACAAAGAGATATATTTAGTGTAACAAATAATTCAATCCTACTCTCAATAATATACAGAAATGTCAAAAASATAATTTAAGGAGAAACAGAATCCTAGTGTTCAAAATATAATTTCAACCATCTAATATTTCATAGCTGAATTTATGATTTTTTTTTTTTTGAAGAAAATGTAGCTACAAAAATTATATGTTCACACATAATTTTTCGTAAATTCAAATAGCACTTGATTATATTGAAGATTTCTSGAGAACATATCATAATACTAATTTTTTTTATATAAAAAATAGTAAAAAAAAAATATAAATTTTCCTTAGTGTTGGTCAATTATTACTCAACTTCCAATTTCATCCAATCGAACCTTATACTTGAAGTAGTGTTGCAAAATTTCGACCGTTTGAGAAATCATTATAAAAAAAATAAAAAAATAAAAAAAAAATCTCACGTTCGTCGGATGGATTATAAGCAAGAACATAGTATGAAATTGTTGGTGCTTCGCAAAATAACAATATTGGTGTTGGATTTTTGTTCACATGGGTAAGTTTTGATAGATTTATTCACGGGTCAATTATGTACATTGATTTGTTAAAACTTGACTTTCGTTGAAATCAGTAGGTTTTGGGACATTTTTACATTGTTTTTCTTAGTTGAAATAAGTGGGTAAATATAACAGAAGCTTAAGTTGTAAAAATTTCCCCACTTTTCTAAGGTTAGAGATCAAACTTCATGAAATTGAAAATTTAGGATAAAAATTTTTTTTTACTAGTTTGGGTAAACATTTTGAACTCTTTCCAAAAGAAATAAATAGAGTTAGATTTTAGATAATAAATGAATAAACATCTAAATCACATTTTACACCTCTCATTTGGTATAACAAGTTGAGTCATCATATTTCAAATTTCACAATCTCATTTTTGAGTACCAAACATGCATTTTAGAGAGAGGATCGTTGATCCACTCCACATGGTTTTTTTTTCTTTTTTTTTTTATTTGGTAAAAAAGAAAGATTAAATGTACCTTAATATATTAACTTAAATTTTTTAGGCTGGGTGGTAGTTTAACATGATATGAGAGTCACGGAGGAGACAGGGCTTTGTCTCCTAAGAATTTGTGTAATTCAAAAAGTATATATAAATTAAAGATTTTTTTAGTTTTCCTGTAGTTTGCTGTCTTAAAATTAACTCCGAACTTTAGTTTGTAACGATTTAGTTCACGTACTTTCAAATGACAATATAGCTCTTGAACTTTAGTATGTATCAAATTAGTCTTTATAGTTTACAAATTGTAACAATTTAATCCCTATTATGAAAAATCTCGTTAAAATGATGTGTCAATTTTTATTATCTAAAATTTAGTATTTTTAGTTTATAAATACATTTGTTCGGCATAAAATCTTAACAACTTTTTTTAAGACACCGATTAAATCGTTATAAATTTTAAACTACATGATTCAATTATTACCAAGTTGAAAGTACATGGAGTACTAAATCGTGAAAAACTAAAGTCTACGTACTAAATCATTAGTTCAATAAAAGTACACGGACCAAAAACATTTTTTCAACCAATATTATATATAAAAAAAACTTTAAAGATGCAAAATTTTGCTCCTCCTTAAGAAAATTTCGGGCTTCGTCCGACATTAACTTGTGAATTGATAGAATAGTTAATAATAAGTACTCTAAAATATTTTCACAATAGTATGATATCGCCTGATTTTTGCATAACCCTCACTATTTTACTTTTGTTTTCACTCAAAAGACATCAGACCAATAGAGAAGTTGTCTCATACCTATATAACCATGATTTCTTCCCTTTATTTAGCCAATGTGAAACTTTGGCCACATTCCTAACTTTTCGAGGTGAAGTTCGACACCACCTATGGTTTGAATTATTACCCCTAAAGCAGTGGTGCTAAGGTTGTTTCTTTTGTGGTCAAAGGTACAAAAGGAGTAGGAGGATTTGGACTTTAAATCAAGTGGGCTATTACGGGCGACTCTTTATTGCTTCCTAAAATAGCATATTCAATAAATAATTGAGGGGCGGGGTCTGTTTTATCACATGCAAGGAAAAAGGAGAGAGATGCTAAAGTAAAAAGCTGCAAAAAAAGAAAAGTAATCTGAGAGAAGGAGAGGAATCTTACCGTTGGAGAAGGTTGGGGCGAGAATTGGTGGTTTGCATTATCGGATGTATTGTTTGTTGAGGGAGTGGTTGATGAAGCCATGATCAGCTCCTCTTCATTCCCAATGCTTGCCCTCGACAAATCCCTCTTGTGCTGCTTTCTGTTTTCCCTTATTTTTGAGAAATCCACTGAATAGTCTGGAACCCCTCCCTTCTGCTCCCAATCCCCAAACTGTGGAACGCTCAGCCACGGAGCCACTTTCTGCATCGTCGTTCCAACGTTAGATTACAAATTTAGTCCAACTTTGGATCTATCTAATACCTCTATGAACTTTAAAATGTATTGAATGGTTTCGTTCCTTTCGATTTTTGTGTCTAATATGTCTCTGAGAGAGATTAATGATGTTTTAAAAATGGATCAGAGACCTATTAGACACAAAATGGAAAGATAATGAACCTGGTAGGCACTAGTTTAGAAACCTATTAGGTACAGAGCTCGTAATTTAGCCAAATATAAATTCACTTGAAACCATACTAACAAAATCAATMTCAAAAGAAATGATCAAACATTGCCACAAAACAGTTCAAATCAAGCCAATAGTTCAAGCCATGAACCATATAGCCAAAACGGTATTGAATCCAGTACAATAATATTTTAACATAACCAGGATAAAAAAGAAACAAACATCAAGAAATTACAAATTTGCYTAAAACAGTTAACATACAGAAAAATAAAAAAAAATAAAAAAAACAGATTACTATCACTAGTTCTTCGATTTTATCGTTCAATTTGAATAAAATTAAGATGAATTTTAAAAATTATGGATTACTTTTTTTCCTCCAATTCCTAATTATTTCCGCGTTTAGGTTTAGGTACAAGCCCACTTTCAATAATGAACCTAATCGATTATTACGAGTTTGATTTGATGATTGAGATGAACTAAGTGGAGACGAGAGTAAAATTCAATAACCTAATTTTCTGAAAGAACAGGACAGGAGAAGAGTCTCTTTTTATTTAATTTTTGTACCCAAAAAAAAAATTCCAGCACATCCATTAAACAGATTAAAAAGCTTCAAGCAATAACTTGTTGCTATAGAGATTTCTTATTCAAGCCCTAGATTCAACTCCAGAATTCGTCAAATTCGACGAGAGAGAGGAGTTAAAAAATCAATTAACAAATCGTAGAGAAACGGGAGGGAGAAATTTACAGAGTAAAGATTCTAAGCTTGAACAGAACTCAAATTTCGCGGAAAAATAAACTAATTGAAACTCAGAAAAATCGGAAGCAGCAGAAAGATAACTCCAGAAAAGAATTTGGGGGAAAAGAAAACGATCAAAGGCGAATTCTAAAATTCTTAAACTACAACAGAGAATAGAACAAAAAGAGTCAATCATTCAATTCAAACCGAAATTTTGTACACAAGCGAGGTACACGATCAACGGATATGCTCTGTAACTGCTGTTTGAAAGTGCATCAAATGATTAAAATGTAAAGAATGTTCAATGTGATTTGAATAAACAAGAGCGGAGTGAACTGTGTAATCAATCTAAATGACAAAAACAATGCATCTACTCATGAACTCCAAATTTTCTACGCTTTCCTCAATTTTCCGAGTAACTTCCGCGCGTAGTTTTCACCATTTTTACGCGGAAGAGGAACAGAGAAACCAAAAGATCGGTGAAAGTGAAGAATTACCTCCTTGCGATCCTCCATGAGAGTGATCTCAGAAACCTTGAGAAATTTGTTTGAATTATTGGAAAATCAGAGAGAGAGAGAGAGCTCTTTGTTTTTCAGCCAAACCTGAGAGACTGATATGTACTGGTGTTCGAAAGACATACAGAAAGCTGGGTGGGGCCCACCTTCCGTCCATCTAAGAAAAACCACCAATTTTTTTTGAACGAAATGTTAACGAGAAACAAAAAATGTTTCTTTTTCCTTTTRAAAAAGCAAAAATATAAATTTGTTTTTTTCTTTTAACAAATATATAAATATTAGGACGAAAACCAACTTARCTCAACAGTAATTAACATATATTTGTAACCAATAGATTGTAAGTTCGATTCCCACCTYATATGTTCTACTAATATATATATGTACACAGTGACGGATTCAGAAATTATATKGGGAGACTTTATACTAATTTACAAGTAAGTAAATAAAAGTACAATTTTGAGATAGCTAGATTTTTTTTAATCTACTTACTTTACAAATTTAATTTTTAATATTCAACAATTTGTTCTGAATTTGTCCATAATTTTTTTAAATTAGTTATATAAAATATCTATCCAAACTAATATACTTTTATTCTATAGACATATAATCCATCAATTTTCTTTTATAATATCTCTATTTAGATTCTAAATTAAATTTACAATATCATTAATAAAAATAAAATAAAAAACTAAAACATAAAATTATTATAAAAATAGTTAAAACATGAGAATTTTATGTTCTAGTCCAATACTAGTTATTATGTGTAAAATAACTTCATAATCAAACTCATAATATATATGCCAAAGCGAGCATAGGTCAACGGTAATTGATATATACCTCCGAGTAAGAAGTTGTGAGTTCGATCTCCCACCCCCACATGTTGTAAAAAARAACTCATAATATATATATGATATAAAGTTAATAATAATATACCTTAGTCACCTAAAAATAATAAATAATAATAATAACATACCTTAGACAATTATTAATTGACGGCAATAATTAGACTAAAAAGACAAACAAATTATTGAAAATTCTTTTTAGTAAGTTTAGAAGAGTGAGTGGTGGTACAATTTTCCATCAACATATTATTCTCTTATTTTTCTTTTTAAAAATATTTACATATTTGTATAGAAAATTCATAATTTATCTATTTTTCATTATTTTTTAAAAAAATTGATATAATCTATGAATTTTTTCATTTTTAGAACTCGGGTTAGAATAAGAAAAAATATAAGATCAGAAAATATAAATTAGATAAAAAGAAGATAAATAAAAATGTCTCAAGTTCCAGGCCTATCAAGACAAGATTACATAGAGAACGAGAAAAAAAGTTTGCCACGCATGGCAAAGGTGAAAATCACAAAAAAGAATTATCATAGAAAAAAAAAAAATCGATCAGACTAGCGCTTAGGGCGTCTCACGGAAAAATAAAAATTGCCCATGGCAAGGATCGAACTTTGGAATTTGAGAAGAGGCTAGGACCGCGTGAGCCACTACGACACTGATATAATTCTACAATTTTGACTTTTATATCATAATTGAATATTTYTAAAAGGATATATATAGTTGGTGGCTGATTATCGCATGCCACGTGTCAACATTATAAAGGCATTTTAGTTAAAAAGATGTTTTTGATTATGATACTTTGTGCAAGTTTCGTAGGCCGAGTTGAGCTAGATAGCATCCGTCGTTGACTGACCTCAAGRGTTAGAGCCGATGTTAGAAGATGTGTTGTGACGTCGTTTCATTAAGAGGCTATTTTTGGCATAGWAGTTTGGCTGCTGTTATTTTTCAGTTTTTCTCCTTATTTTCAGTTTATGAACCATGATAGTTCTCTTCGTTCTGTACATCTTCATTGTTGAATGGGATAAGAAAGTTTTCTGAAATTTTATCTTGGTATCAGAGCCAAAAAGGCTTACGCTGAAATGACGACCGAAGAAACCGAAAATTCATCTGTTCCTCCACAAGTGGTCACAAATGTGGCTGTCCCAACACCAAATCCTTCACCACAATTTAATACCTCCTTTGGTCATCCCCTGGGCACTGTTTTAACAGTAAAGTTGGATGACAAAAATTATTCTCTTTGGAGAGGAATGGTGCTCGCTGTCTTAAGGGGTCAAAAATTTGATGGGTATGTGCTGGGAACCTTGGCCAAACCACCACAGTTTCTTGTCTCACCAGAAACTGAAGGAACTTCAGACCATCTTCAAGTGAATCCTGAATATGTGGAGTGGCAAGCAGTTGATCAAGCTCTACTTGGTTGGCTTTTTGGATCAATGACTCCTTCTATTGCCTGCGATGTCGTTGACTTCAGAAGTTCAAGAGAAGTATGGAAAGCTCTTGAGGATCTCTATGGAGCAACAAGTAAGGCACGCATAAATCAGTTGCGGAATGTTCTTCAAAATACCAAGAAAAACTCTCTGAAGATGTCAGAATATCTTGGACTTATGAAACAAGCCTCTGAAAGTCTCAAATTAGCAGGTGAGCCTGTTGCTTTTAATTATTTAATGTCTTGTGTACTCTCAGGTTTAGAGGCAGAATATCTTCCAATTGTCTGTCAAATTGAAGGGAAAGATTCAACTTCATGGCAAGAGTTGTTTGCTACACTAGTGACGTTTGAAAACACTTTAATGAGGCTAAATATTGTTTCTACCGCTACTGCTGAGGGCATCTCTGATGGGAGTGYTAATTATGTACATTCAAAGCAAAATTCAGTTGGGAATAGACAGTTCCATCAGTCTCAATCAGGACAAGGACAAGGAAGAGGCAGTTACAACTCAAATGATGCTAAAAACAACGTGAGAGGAAGAGGTCGTGGCAGATTCAGTCCTTATAGAGGAAATAACTCTAAACCAAGTTGTCAACTATGTGGCAAATATGGGCATATAGCAGCTGTTTGTTACAAAAGGTTTGATGAAAACTTCAATAATTTGTCTAGCTCCAACAACAACCGTAATTCTGCATATATGGCTATCCCAGAGATTGTTGCTGAACCTAGTTGGTTAGCAGATAGTGGGGCTACAGATCATGTCACTTCAGACCTCTCAAACTTGAATGTTAAGTCTGATTACAATGGTAAAGGTACATTAACTGTTGGTAATGGTAATAGGCTAGAAATTTCACATATTGGGCACACTTGTTTGCAAACCAAACCTATTACTTCTGGCAATTTACAACTCAGCAATATACTTCATGTTCCAAAAATTAAAAGAAACCTCTTGAGTATTGCCAAACTCACTGCTGATAATAATTGTTTTGTTGAATTTCATCCGACTTGTTGTTTTGTGAAGGACAAGGAAACAAAGAAGGTGGTGCTGCACGGAGTTCTCAAAGATGAACTATACCAAGTCAAGTTACCTCTCCAAACCAGCAATCAAAATCAAAACCAGCAGCGTTCAATGTCTTCTGTTCAACAATGTTTAGCTAGCAACAATCTGTCTTTGTCTACTAGCAATAGGTTCAATTCTGCTTTTGTTACACAATCTTATGTTTCTTCTTCCAAAGTGTCGTTGGATGTTTGGCACCAAAGAATAGGACACACATCCAACAAAGTCCTTGCTTCTGTTTTAAGTGTTTGTAATGTAAAATCGACTGGAAATGAAAAACCAAGCTTTTATGATTCGTGTCAATATGGAAAGTCTCATGCTTTGCCTTTCAAACTTTCTACTTCTTGTACCAATAGACCTCTTGAACTGATTCATTGTGACCTTTGGGGACCTTCTCCTGTTGTCTCAACAGCTAGTTTTTGGTTTTATATAAGCTTCGTTACAATTTTTCAAGGTTCACTTACATTTTTCCTCTTAAACATAAAGGAGAAGCCCTTTCAATCTTTATCCAATACAAAAATCTTGTAGAAAATAAATTTGACCTTAAAATCAAGTGTTTACAAAGTGATTGGGGTGGAGAGTTTAGACCATTTGTCACTTATCTAAAGCAACACGGCATTGAGTTTAGACACTCTTGTCCTCATACTAGTGAACAAAATGACATAGTAGAAAGAAAACAGAGACACATAGTGGAAATGAGTCTTACTCTACTTGCTCAAGCCTCAATGCCTTTACGATTTTGGTGGGATGCCTTTTTGTGTGCTGTTTACTTGATAAATAGACTTCCCACTTCCGTCTTACAAAATATGTCACCTTGGGAGAAACTTTCTAACAGAAAACCAGATTATTCTTTCCTAAAAGTGTTTGGTAGTRCTTGTTTCCCTTGCTTGAGGTCTTATAAAAAACATAAGTTCCAATTTCATAGTACTAAATGTRTATTTTTGGGATATAGTGATCAACATAAAGGATATAAATGTCTCAGCTCAAATGGAAGAATCTATATCTCTAGACACGTCATATTCAATGAGAATGAATTTYCTTTCAAGGCTGGTTTTCTCACAACGTCTCTTTCTAAACAACAATCAAATGAACTTGTCATTACCTATCTTAACTTTCCTGGTACTTCTCCCTTGAACTTGCCAAACACTAGTCCTACCTCCACAGATGTAAGACAGAATATTCTTTCCAGACAAGAAAATCATAATGTTGCAGCACCTTCAGAACCACTATCCTCTTTGTTGCCAAGTCCAGAGCATACAATTGGGAGCCAAAGTCAAGGTCAGGTATCTACTTCTCAAAATAACATTGATTTACTTTCTAACCCAGCTACTGAGATATTGTCTGATACTTTGAGTTCTAATTCACCCTCACAACCTACTCATCCTATGCAAACAAGTCCAAAAGTGGAATTTTTAAGCCTAAGAAATACAGTTATGTTGCTACTCACAGTCAAATTTCAGTGAACAAAGAACCCGTGAATGTTGCAGAAGCTTTAAGATCAGAACACTGGAGAGAAGCTATGGAATCTGAGATGGATGCACTGATAAAAAACAAAACTTGGACTCTAATACCACCTTCTCCAAAGTATAACTTGGTTGGGTGCAAATGGGTGTTCAAGGTTAAAGAAAATTCAGATGGAAGTGTTTGTGGTATAAGGCTAGACTTGTTGCAAAGGGGTTTCATCAAATCCAGGTGTTGATTTTAAAGAGACGTTTAGTCCTGTTGTGAAGTCATCAACTATAAGAATCATTTTAACTATCGCAGTGAAAAATGATTGGGTGATTAAACAGTTGGACATCAATAATGCTTTTCTTAATGGCTTCTTGGAAGAAGATGTGTATATGGTACAACCTGAAGGATTTGAAGACCAACAACAACCATATCATGTATGCAAACTTWATAAAGCATTGTATGGTCTTAAACAAGCACCAAGGRCTTGGTTTGATCGATTGAAGGCTGTCTTACTACTTGGGGCTTCAACAACTCAAAGGCAGATAATTCTCTGTTCTATCTCATTAAAGTTAGAGTTCAAATATTTATTCTTATCTATGTTGATGATATTCTTGTGACCGGAAATGACAGTAAATTGATTACTCAGTTTGTGAAAGACTTAAATCAACCGTTTGCTTTGAAGGACCTGGGTGATCTTTCTTATTTTCTAGGTATTAAAGTATGGAGAGATCAGTACGGAATCCATTTAAGTCAAGAAAAATATGTCTTGGATCTACTCGCCAGACTTGGTATGGCCAATATTAAATCTTGTCCAACTCTAGCTGTCACAAGCAAGCAATTCTCAGCTACTGAAGGCGTTTTGATGGCAAATTCCACACTTTATAGAAGTGCTATAGGAGGCCTCCAATACTTAACTCACACTAGACCAGATATCTCATATATTGTTAACAAAYTAAGTCAATATATGCAGCAACCTACTATGATGCATTGGCAAGGAGTCAAACGGGTTTTAAGGTATCTCAAAGGAAGCTTGAGTCATGGTCTTTTTATTCCTAAATCAGTAAGTCTATYCTTATTTGCCTATACAGATGCTGATTGGGCTTGTAGTGTTGATGATAGAAAATCTATTGCTGCTCATTGTGTCTTTCTTGGACACTCACTAATTTCTTGGTCTTCTAAGAAACAACATGTTGTTGCTAGATCAAGCACTGAATCTAATATCGGTCTTTAGCTCACACTGCAGCAGAAATTTGTTCGATACAATCTCTATTGAATGAAATTCAGCATTGCCCCATGTCCACTCATGTTATATGGTGTGATAATATGAGTGCACTATCACTTGCAGCAAATCCTGTTTTTCATTCRATGACCAAACACGTTGAATTGGATCTCCACTTTGTTCGGGACAAGGTTGTTAAAAAAGAGCTGGATGTTCGCTATGTTCCTTCGGATGAACAAGTAGCCGATGGTTTAACCAAGGCTTTGTTAGAAAACAAATTTTGTATCAGTCGAGGCAAACTCAATGTGCTGCCAGCACCCTCTCGTTTGAGGGGGGATGTTAGAAGATGTGTTGTGACGTCGTTTCATTAAGAGGCTATTTTTGGCATAGTAGTTTGGCTGCTGTTATTTTTCAGTTTTTCTCCTTATTTTTAGTTTTGAGATATCGTGGGTAACTGTTCTATGAACCATAACCTTTTTTTGCAAGTTTTTCGGAAGACAAGGAGGATCATCCTGCACTATCCAACCTACGAGGATTCCGAGGTTGACCAATTTTGGATCAAACAATATAAATGTTAACTACGTTTTATTTAACTAATTCTAATTTTACGTAGAAAGATAGTCTTTCATTCTCTATGAAAATTTGTTAATTAAAAGTTGATGTATTATTAAATTATTAAATTCTGTTTAGGTAAGTAACGTTTCCATTTTTTTTCTCTTGAAAATAGAATTGTATGGTACTAATACCTATTAATTCAAGAATGATAAGGTTTAGAACAAATTGGAAACTTGGAACAAGAAATAAGAAACTTGTTTTTGTTGTTTTAACATTTTTGTATAATTTTATAAATGTTTTAAAAAAAATGAGAAATAAAAAACATAAATAATGGTTAAATGGTTAGATTTTTTTTTTATTTGTCAACAAGTTACAATGTTCCCGTTACTTGTTTCTTATTTCTTGTTTCTTATTTTCAATTTTTGAGAAACGTAACCATTTGACAATTATTCACATTTTTTGTTTCCAATTTTCAAGAACTGTTTCCCAATTACGTAGAGATTATAGAAATAATGAAATCCAGTTTCTTATTTGTGGTTTCTACTAATTTTTTATTTTTGTAAAACATAGATAAAAACATTATTTCTCATTTTTTTTACCTACAAAATGCATAATAAATATAAAAGAATAAATTAACATAAAAATTTTGAATATTTAATTTGAAAAATTAATTTTCATATCGACTATTTTTTAATTTAATAATTTAAGAAACAAGAAAAAAAATGGTTACCAACCTATTTCTTTTTTTAATATGAAAAATAAAAATAAGAAACACGAAACAAGAAATAATTATTAAACGTAATTTTATTTTTCTTCATTGAACAAAAATGAAACAAAAAACAAAGAAACATAAATGTGACCAAACAAAGGTTACTTTATTAGCATACATGGTATGCGAGATGTGATTTTTATTTTGTTGTTGGAAGAATTTTTTTTTGTCAACAATGGATCAAATTTTCTTAATGGACTAATTAGATTCCATTGGTTAAATTTTAGACTACATTCTAATTAAATTAGTTAATATTGTGGTCGTTGATGCATAAATTTGATTAGATTGGTTGACCAAATATCGCACCAAAAACTCAACGTTGACCTACAAAAARATAAAATAAAAAAGATTGAATATCGTGTGGACTTCGAAGGTAGCATCATTACACGCAAGGAGAAAAGATAGTTGGCCTGTTAATGAATCTCATCAACTGGGCATGGGCCCATCTTTCAATACATGGGACGGTCGCTGACTGACAACTGGTCAGCACTGACACCAGTCAGTTGGGTGTCGAGTCTTGGTTGGCTGGGTCTCATGCTATTGCTGGTCCGTCGAATTTTATGAGTTCGAACTTCTGTTATTGTTTCTTCTAATATGGACTCATTTATAATTTCTCCCTTATTTGTGGACTTCCTTTRTCTTAAGTGGGTTTGTAGCTTATTAGTCGGGTTCAGCTTTATTTATCCATGACAATGGTTAATATTGTTTCTTAGATATTTATGTTTCCCTTTTTTTTTTTACTTTGTCCAATTTTGCCTTATTTAGTGCACACTTGTCACATGGAAAGATGAAGTTCATAAGCAAATGTTAGACTACATGATGTGTGCGTTGATCAAACGTTTTGTACAACAACTAAACATAGGAAAATGTATTTTCAAATTTTGTCAACAAGAAAGTGACACGTGGATATGCATAAAAAATTAATAACCTTTTAAATTCAATTGGTAGAGATGATGATTTTAATCTTTGACTTTTTAGCTATGACGGATGCCTATATATATTATAATACTATTTTTTATTTTGGTCCCTAGCTAATTTTAGTACACATACTTTCGAGATATTTATTTCAGTCTACTGAATATTTAATTTTAATTCATTTTAGTCTTTGTCTTTGTACTCAATCACTACACTTTTAAACAGTAACAATTTTGGTCATTGTTTTCAAAATTTAAACACAAATTATTTACCCAAAGAAAAAAAAGGTATTATTATAAATTTCAAAAGAATATATTGAGTATAGTGTCGTGTTAAATTTGTGATTGAAAAAAATGAGATAAAAAATAAAATGAAGGGAAAATGATCACATTTAAAAAGTACGGAGACTAAAACGAATGTTTCAAAAATATTAAGAACTAAAATAGATCAAAGTTGAAAATACAGAGACAAAAACAACCACTTTACTAGTATTTATTAAACTAACTCAATCTTTTGTATAAATCAGCATAGATGTCTCGTTAGTCCAAAACAACTAAGGTAAATTAGAAGAATTTAGAAGAAATGAGTTCAAACTCCATGATGGCCAACCTATTTGGAAATTAATTTTTATGTCTTTTTAGACGGACTATCCTTTTGTCGAGAAACTGGAAGTTTCTTATCAAATTATACTTGAAACATTTTAGAAGCAAGGTTCGTAAGTTTGGATTGAACCGAACAACTTTTTATTTTATTTATTTATTTATTATATATTTATTTCATTGAATAATTTTTATAGATTATTAATTCTACAACTTTTTAAGTTTCTGGAGTACAATTTTTTACCATATAGATAAACATTTACGTATGGATCTTGACTCAATGTTAGGAACCGTGTAAATAAATGTTGAAGATATTAGCATTTTTTTTTGTTATATAATTTTTTGAATGGGTGATCCTAATAAAATTTGTTTGTGTTGAATAAATTTACAACATATTAATCAGTCACATAAAAGCATGCATTGCCAATAGTAAAACAGTGCAAGAAATATTGTATATGTTAAAATCTCAACATGTAATAGAAATGGTAAAATTTAATTTCTAGAATGAACAAATTTTTTGGCCTATGAAGTCATAAATTATCATCATTGTCAATTATTAATCTTAAGAATATAAAGAAAATTATAAGGTATTGGTTGCAACAAGTTGGAGCTATTGACTTCGAGTGTCTTGAACCCAATTTGAGTCACCATTGGTACAAATGCATGAGTTGGTCACAAATTTTGAAGAGTTTGAACTTTCGACTTGCAAGCAAAGGTTCCTTCCATACTGAGTGAATGTGGTTAAATGAAGTTTCGAGTTTGAAATGAAACTCCAAGCACTTTGTCGACCCAAACGGTCATTTGAAAGGGATGCCCCGAGACCTTCCCCATTGGCTTTCAAACACAAACCAGTGTTTATCGTCCTAATCGGGGTGCCATCACCGCTATGACTCCAACGACTTGAGGTGGAGCAATTGCTTAGAAAAATTTCTTTATTATCATTGGAGGCTTGAGCACATTGGCCACTTTGTGGATGATACATAACATACGAGGATGATGCATTGGATCTTGGATCTGTATAACAAAAATATTTCATAAATTTTTTCGTAACTACTTTTCTTGGCATGGGTCCTTATATGTGTTCAAAATCATTAATATAATTACCTTGCAACATAGTTTGCAATAGCTGAAATTTCTTGATAAAATTAGGGTTTTTCATCTTAGTCCAACTAGAATCGAGAATACCAAACGCTTCTACAGGTTCTGCTCAACCTTCTCTATAATAGTAGCTACCTTGCCAAGTCCACAATGCCCAATCTAAATTTTTTGAGCAAGATAAGCCGTAAAGCAACTCATGAATCGATTTTCAGCATCATTAACCTCCCTTTGATCATACCCATATTCGCTAACAAACAAAGGAAATGGATTGGGTCCTCCAGTTACAAACTCGGCATGGTCTACAAAGCCGTTGATGATATTTGCACATATATTGTTCAATAGTTGTCGTACAAATTTGCTCTCAGAATCTCCACTGAAGGAATATAAGTGGACTTCGAAAACCAACTTGTTGTCTAAAGTGCCTGCATTCAATGGCTTCTCCTTAACACATCGGAGATCGTTGTCATAATTTAGGCTAGAAACAATCACTAAAACTTCAGGATTTATGTTATGGATTGCTGTAACTCCTTGAGTTACATAATTGTTCCAATCATTTTCATTTTCCATCAATCCTCGTATCTCATTTCGTAGACTCATTGCAATCACCTGATGCCATTAAAAAACGAAAAGAAACAAATTGTTTTGTTGATTAAATATTTTAATTTCTAGTCTTCATAAATGTTTGGACTTAGTTTCAATGTTATTACATACCGTTGATTTGTTGATAAAAACGTTGGGCGACTAGATGAAGACCTTGTAACCATTCTTGAGGGTCAAAATTACGATTTCCAAAAAATCCATTGCCATCATCAAGTGAGCAGCACTATCTCAGCTGGCTTATGTGGTTGTCGACAATCACCATTAAACCACTCGCCCCAAGCACATCAACAATAGCTTCATATGCTTCAACAATAGTCTTATTTAACACAAAAGGATTATACTGGACCAATCCAACTTTAGCTTGTTTTAAATCAAGAAGATCAAAATTCTCTTCTATCATCCTATTAGCATAGCGAGTGAACATATGGGTTGCATAAGTAAGAAACAGGCACAGGCAGTTGAACCTCAACTTGATTGCCGCATCTGCAAGTTCTTTCAGTGCCCTATGGTTGAGGCCTTCTGCCAATTCACACATACAAGCTTAATTCGATGTCCTGTTTTCGAATCAACGATCCATCTTCCTTGTGTTGACAAAGGCAACGAATAAGCTGAAAAATTACACAGACTATGACTAAACAGAAAATAGATCGCAAAGTTCTATTTTTAAATAAGGTACATACATTATTTCTTCACCATTGTCCCCAAAATTGAATTAGGAAAAAAATGAAGTTTGTATTTGTTTTATGGGACTAACACCAAACCAAGGAATCTTATACAAGTTCGATTAATTAGAGAAAAACTACTAATTTATTTGATTTAAAAAAAATCGCATTTTAAATTTGAATATTTTATATTAAATTAAAAAAAATGACATTAAAATTCAAATTAGACTTCGTTTTGGATTATTTTATATTAAATTAAAAAAAATGACATTAAAATTCAAATTAGACTTCGTTTTGGATTATTTTAAGACTTTCATTTTATTTATATAGAGGGAAAGTTTTGAAGACCTCTGTTGTTATATCTTGATCTCTATTTCTCCCCGTATTAAAATTCTGTAGGAATGCTTGATCATAACCAATTTGTATCTGACATTTGCAAATTTTCAAGGCAATTTATGATTTTTTTTTTCAGAAGAAAACTGAGCTATTTGTGCAAGAAGAAACATTTTGTTTGAAATTTGAAAAATACCACAATTTAGTTCATCTAAACAATTTTATATAAGAACATTCATGTAATTAAAAATTCCTTTTCATCAAGATTTATATCAGTTTCAACTAAGATAATTAAATTACAACAAGGATTTAAATTATTGAAATTCAGAAAATTTTAACTGTTGAATACTCAAGAAATTTCTCCTGTTCAATTTTTAATAAAATGAAAATGTCAAATGCTTTGTCCTTTCACAATTAATATCTATTGGTCACCCGAATCAAGTAATATTTCAATTAATTACTATTAAAATTGTGTTTTAATAACTATATTTTCAACTTTTTGCCCATTTTAATCTCTGTATTTAAAATGTTATTTTTCTCTATTACAATTTCAACATAACGTTAAACTCAAACTCAATTTGATTATTACAATATAATCATTAATTCATATTAAATGATTTGAATATATGATGAGTAAAAAAAGTCGAGAAAGCTAAAATTAAAAAACAAAATAGTTACATTTGGAAACATTTTTTAAAGCATAAGAATTAAAAATCAAAATAAAAAATTTTGGAATACAAAGATTAAAATGAATCAAAACTCAACAAAAACTAAAGAACATTTTCACAAATAATAAATTATAATGTTAAAAAGACTTTTTTTTTATTATAGCTGTAAGGAGGATTTGGATCAACATCTTAGCTCACTCACAGTAAGACAAATGCCATAACTCATTGAGCTATGCTCGTATTGATAAACAGACTTAGACTTAGTTTAGAGATAAATATTTTGATGCAACAACCCTATTCAATAAGAAAATTCCAAGATTAAGACATAATATCAAATTGTTAGAATGGTAAATCTAGATTTTAAGAAAACTCAGAACACTAAATTCAAGAAATGCTTTATAAGATTAATGTATATTATAATAATTTTAATTTTTTAAAATAAAACTAATGTTTTAACATTAAAAAAACATACAACTAAAATTTCAAAAATCTTTTTAATACAAAGAATCGAACTCTCACTCTCCTAATTGGAGATATGACAATTACCGTTGAACTATACTCTTGACAAAATATCAAAAACTTATTATAGCACAAAAAAAAAAAAATCCAAAATTCAAAAACTTATTAGACGTTTAAAATTTTAACATACCAAATAACCCATTATACTAATTCTAGAGGACGCATCTCTCACAGTTCAAAGGCCTAGTTAGCAATTTAAATTTGATGTTATACAAAAAATGAAAAAAAAAACAACATAAAAACGATCAAACAAATATGTCAAAATCTTCCCTTATTGTGAAACATTTCATCAACACCAAAATTTAAAATAATATACCCAATTTTTTAAGCTACCACTCTCAAACCAGATACAAGTACTCCAATCTCCTTATTCATTTTCACGTGGTTTCAAACAGATATATTAATGGAAGAGAAATGAATTTGCCACAACCAAAAACAATACCAAATAGAACAACATTTACACCATAAACTTAAGTGACCTCATGAAAGACCAGGAAAAATAATGGTAAGCAAGAAATCAGGACAATTTGGTGATATGTGATATGTGAGGTTCAAAGGACTTTCTCAAAAGGAATAGCTAGAAATGCATCAACAAATGCTCACAAAATATACCAGAAACATGTGGATACAAGAAATACAAATAAAATCTGCAATTCAAATGGACTTCTGACATTTCTACCACTTAAAACAATCCAAAGTTTACATACTACCAGATATTGTAACATTATGAGTTTGGAGTTTCAATTGGGGTTGTTTGTTTTTTATTAATGAAAAACCATGCTTTGGTTGAGAAAACTGAAAAGATACAAAGGGGACAAAAAATAACAAACTTAAAGAAGGCTCTAATTTACCAAGATAAGACAATTACAAAAATCTTTGAAAACCAACATGTTGATAACAGACCAAACCATGCCTTGGTTGAGAAAACTGAAAAGATACAAAGGGGAAAAAATTTACCAACTTAAAAAGAAGGCTCTAATCTACCAAGATAAGACCATTACAAAAATCCTTGAACACCAACATGTTGATAAGAGACCAAACTTCTTGCGAAGGACTATCTATCCCTCTAAAATTCTGTTGTCCCTCTTAATCTAAAGCRCCCCCAAAATGGTTTTGACCAAACTTCTTGCGAAGGGCTATCTATCCCTCTAAAATTCTGTTGTTTCTCTTAATCTAAAGCCCCCACAAAATGGTTTTGACCAAACTTCTTGCTAAGGGCTATCTATCCCTCTAAAATTCTGTTGTTCCTCTTAATCTAAAGCACCTACAAAATAGCACAAAACTGACACGCCACAGAAACCAACCCTTATCACAGAAGGGCAAATGAAGAAGAATATACTCTACAATAGTTCAGGGTTTAAACAAGAATGAAATGCAGACAAATCAAAGGTTAAGCACATATTTTTTTCTTTTCATCCAGCGATGAGGTTAGGCAAAGAAAAGATTATAAAGAATAATATCATAAAACTACTCTGGATAAGTAGAGCATTAAAGGAAGCAACAGCAAGGGGGGAGAATTGACCCTTCTAAGTTCTTCCACCAAAAAGAAAACGATTGACCCTTCTTTCCAAGCATCAAAGACAAATAATGCAATTTTTTAATGTTCATCTCACGAGGATATTTAAACCAGACTACATCCAGTCCGGTGTATCACCACCAAATGGTAAGCTTTTCCAAATTGCAGGCCCACACAAGATATGAAACTATAACAGTTTATTCCAAGATGTTCATTTAGCAGAGAAACAAAAGAAAAGGGTTCAATAATAGCTAAGCTAATAATAAAGTGCATCATGCCTCCCACCTCAATGTAAAAAACAGAATAGGAAAGATCAAAGACAAAAGGCTTCTTATACCTAAAATACCAAAGTACCTACAATTTGAAGCACATTAAGCAAAACAAGGAACACGACGAATAAAAATTCAACAAGTACACCATTAAGAATATTTATTTTAGCATCTATTTTCTTCATAAGATTGAAAGTATCAAGATTCTTAGATATATAACAAGGACTCGAATGATACAAGCAGATTTGATGAGTAGAAGAGAAAACAAGAAAAGGAGGAAAGGAGATTGACTAGTTTAAACTTAATCATCATTACAAGATTGACAACATAGTAAAAGTTATAAAGAAAATAATATTAAACAAAAAATTAATATTAGACTCGATAAACCCATTGGTTAACAATCTAACTCATAGGGATAAACCTAAAGCAAACCCACTTACACAGTAAATAGAAAACCTAAAAGTACCAATGCCTATAATTGTTTTAAAATTTAGATAACATAATTCCTAATAAGCATCCTAATAAACATACCAAAAATGCAAAAGAAATGTTTTTAATATAAAATTGCCCCAATTCATCAGCCTTTTTTTTAGGATAAGACAATTCATCAGCCTTTGGAACTGCAAAAGAAAGTGCAGGCTTAACTAAGAAAATACAAGAATGGGAATACCTTACGAAGGAGGCAACCTGCAAAACAGTAGTGCTTCATTCCAACCGGGCAACCTGATTAGCTTAATATTAACTACAACATGTACTAACATAGCATGAACTACATGTAAACTTCACAGCATAAGTGTCACTTCAGACCTCAACCCACCCACTAATGGAAGCAATATAAAAAGCTCAATGAAAATTGACAATCGCAGATAAAAAAACAGTAACAAATACTTTAAAAAAATAAACGTCTTTGGTACAATAATAATAGCTGCTAGCTTTAACTCTTCCAAATGGGAGAAACAAATGGTGAGTGGAAAGAACTAAACATGAAAATGATTTGGAAACACAGATTCCCAGATCTGGATTTCAATGCCATAGTTAAAAATATACATTAAAACAAACCATGTTTTACAGTTCCCCCAAAGCATAAAAAATCTAACTGATTTTTCAAGAACAATAAGATAAGAAACCTAAATGGTAATTAGATATTAAACCCTTGCAAAGCATATAATTTTAGTTGGAATCATTGTTGACAAAATTAATGAAAGAGAATTACCATAACTTAACTGTCAAGTGCAAGATCTATTAAAATTATAGGGCCAAAAGAGTTTGAAATATTTTTGGTCAACCATTGAGCTAGAGTTTACACAATTTTACTTGAAAGTACTAAAAACTGATCCAAATCTTTGAAACAAATCTTCAATAGATCAAAAACTACAGATTTAAAATGGAGCTTAAATGAAGAGGGTCGAAAACGTCATTTGCATCAGCTCCTTAAACTTCAGAGAATCACCTGATCAGTACAAAAATACTGACGCACATATGAGTGAGATCTGCACAACGAATAAGAAAGCATGAAAAATAATTTCAGAAATTTTTTTTTCAGAACCATCTTTTCCAAATAGTTCAACATAGCCATTAAAATTCAGGATATCACGTGAAGAAAGATGTTTTTGACATTTGATAAATACTTTTAGTTATGACATCAAGATGAGAAAAACCATCACTGCCTACAAAAAAAATTTTAAGTTGATATTTGTGAAGAAAAACTAAGTGTGGCAACACAAGAAAATGAAGAAGTTGAGCCAAGACTATCAGAAATCAACATAACTTCCAACATTCTTACCCCAAGAAAACAGTGTAAAATACTAAAGATGAGAAATTATTTGTTTAATAGCATGCTAGTTAAAGAGAGATAAAATATTAGATTTAAAAGACGAATGATGGAGGAAAAGACAGAAAAGAACGGAAAAGAAGCTGGAAAAAAGCAAATAACTCTTACATTGAAGCTCTAAATTGAAGAAGGAAAAGCTTTCCTTCACAATTTTACAAATGAATCTAAAGCATTATATTGCAATGCTATATGGATTGCTTGGATAGGGACACCAAATAGCTAAACGATGAATCAACTTTGTAGTTGAATTAAGTAGTTTATAAGTTAGATGAAAAACTGTGGTAACTCTATAATGATTTCAACATCAGAAAGTATCAGATCAACGACATCATGCAGTCAGACAAATCATGAGTCGAACTTAAGTTTTGGATTAGTTCCATAGACTAAAATCCATTCAAAGAACTACCTCATAACTAAAATGCAACACACAGAACCCAAAATTAGTTTAAAAAAAAGGAATGCACAATTACATAGGATATGAATCTTGGGATGAATGACATACGTACTATATCAGCTCATATCTTATTTTTGTCTCTAGCATACCTCCAAGAAACTAGCAAGTAATGACATCCAAATAATCTCAGTATTTCTTTTTTTTTTCCTTGCAAAAATCCAGCTACCACTACCTTTAAAGAATTTGGGTGAAAATAGATTCAAACTCTTATATGTCAACAAAAACAGCCTACAGTGCAAAAAACAGATGCCACATAGTTAACATCTCAAAGTCCTGTCATCAACTAAAAGTAATTCAACCAACCAACCAAACTTTTTATCTCTCAATAACAATTTTTTCTTTAATCCAATGCTTAGCATTCAATATGAATACCTAATACCCTCACAACTCTATCATTCAAAATCTTATATGACAACGGAAACAGCCTACAGTGTAAAAACAGATGCCACATAGTTAACATCTCAAAGTCCTGTCATCAACTAACGTACTTCAACCACCAACCAATCTTTTTATCTCACAATAACAATTTTTTGTTTAATCCAATGCTTTAGCATTCCATACGAGTATCTAATACCCTCCACAGCTCTATCATTCAAAAATTAATATGTTAGTAGGCATAAAATAGAAATATTAAGACAAAAAAAATATAGAGTAAAAAGAGAGTGAATCTGTACCTCCCTGAGGCACTAGTGCCCCATATAACCGCCAGGACCACCATACTGCCCAACTCCATGCTGCCCTCCTCTTCCAGATCCACCCTGTCCCATCTGTTGGTTTGGATACCCACCCTGAACACCGCTCTGGCTTCCATACCCAATCACCCCAGGGCTTATATTCGATTGACTCCCATATCCACTTTGCACTCCAGGTCCCGTGCCTTGCACAGCTGGATTCAGCCCTGCAGCAGATCCAAGCGTCCCGAACAAGTTAGTCAATCCCAATCCAGCACCCTGAGTCGCAAGCAACGCAGTCAGGGCCTGGCCAAGAGCTGGGTTCAATGCTTGAGGTGGTCCTTGGTTATAACCAACACCAGGTCCTGCAGGTGCCATCAAGTGCCCCGACCCAGATGCCGTGCCACTGGTATAATTAGA